ACGATCCATATGGATACTTGACTCATGGGCGCCTCATCTCCTACGCTGACGACACCATGCACATGAATTGCGCGCCTCCTGACGGACCGGGTCTCGGTGACCTCAAAACCAAACTGGAACTTACCATGCGTGAGCTTCAGAACTGGTTAAGTGCCAGGTCTCTCCAAATGAACAGAAGAAAGCCTGCTTTTATGCTCGTTGGGTTAAAGCAAAATTGAAAAAGTAAACGGACTTCTACTTTGAAGGAAATGGTTCTACTTTGCGCGCCTCAAGTAGCATCAAAATTCTCGGCGTCATATTCGACTCTGGCCTGTCAGGGGGTGCCCATGTCTCGAGCGTCGTGAAGAAATCCTACGTCATCCTCGTTTCTCTGTACACATTCCGCCATTGCTTTGCTTCAGATGTTCGCAAAATCATCAACCAGGAGTACGTGTTTCCTCATATCACGTATTGCCTGCGCGCATAGGGTGGGGCGCCCAATATTCAAATGCACAAAATTTAAAAAAAAATATCAGCTTTCCTCCAAGAATAGATGCGGGCTCCTAATGCATCGCTATATAACTCCGGCTACAAATCCCTCGGATGGCTGAGGACCCAGGCCATAGTGGCGCACCGCGACGTGATATAAGTGTTTAGAGCGCTGAAAGAGGCAGGCGTGCCCCACGAGGTCCGCGCGATTTTGTCCCACGCGCCGCTGTTTTGCCCGCAAAACGCACGCCTCGAGCAGAGGTGGCCTGTACCTGCGCAGGCACCGATTGACCGCCACACAGGACGTTTTTGCATCAAGTCGCAACTGCCTGAAACTGTCTGCCATCGATGTCCGTAAAGTTAGCGATTTATTCAGCTATTTTTTCAGCGACCAGTTTTGATTTCTCTGAAGAAAGGGTCGGAAAGTCAGTTGTGGCATGAGAACACCAAAATGACCCTTGTTTTGCAATACCTTGTGACCTTCAAGGTCAAACGCTGGGTCAGAGGACGAGCAACTCGATATCACCCAAAAACTACCGGCCGATTTGAAAACTGTGAACAGCAAAATATTTAAAAGCGCAAGAGCTAGCGTCCGTCAAAAAGTTCTGACTTCTCAACGTCACCCCTCAAGGTCAAGCATGGGCTCAAAGGGCGGGGAACTCCATATCACCCGAAATTGACCCGGCCGATTTTAAACTTCTTAACACTAGATAATTTCTTACCGAAGGAACTAGCGTCCGTCAGGAAGTCCTGACTTCTCAAGGTCACTCTTGAAGGACAAACGTGATCTTAAAGGACAGGGATCTCCATTCACCCAAAAATTACCGGCCAATTTTTAACTTACAAGCATCAGAATATTCACCAACAAAGAGCTAGCGCCCGTCTAAAGGTCAAGACCTCTCAAAGCCACCCTTTAAGGTTAAACGCGGGCTCAAAGGACGGGGAGCTCCACATCCCCCAAAAATTACGGGCAGGTTTTAAACTTGCAAACATCAAAATATTCACCACAGAAAGAGCTAGCGTCCGTCAAAAAGTCCAGTCCTCTCAAGGTCACACTGCAAGGTCAAAAGAGAGCTCAAAGGACGTGAGACTCAATATCACCCAAAAAATAGCAGCCGATTTTAGGCTTGCAAACATTAGGATACTCAATACAGAAAGAACTAACGTCCGTCAAAAAGTCCTGACCTCTCAAGGTCAATCTTTCAAGGTCAAACGTTTGACATTAAAGGATGATCTTGAGAAGCCAGAACTTTTTGACCGACATCAGCTCTTTCTGTAGTGAATATTCTGATGTTTGTAAGGTAAAATCGCCCGGTAACTTTCGGGTGATGTGAAGTTCCCCGTACTTTGAGCCGCGTTTAACCTTGAAGAATGACCTTGAGTGGCCAGGATATTTTCACGCACGCGACGTATTTCTGTGGTGAATATCATGATGCATGCAAGTTTAAAATTGGCCGGTGGCTTTTGGATGATATGGAATTCCCTGTCCTTTAAGCCCGCGTTTAACCTTGAAGGGTGACGTGGAGAGGTCATGACTTTTTTGACGGACGTTAGCTCTTTCTGTGGTAAATATTCTGATGTTTGTAGGATAAAAATCTGCCGGTAATTTTTGGGTCATGTAGAGTTCCCCGTCCTTTGAGCCCGCGTTTGATCTTGAAACGTGACCTTGACAGGTCAGGACTTTTTGACGGACGATAGCTCTTTCTGTAGTGAATATTTTGATGTTTGTAAGTTAAAAATCGGCTGGTAAGTTTTAGGTGATTTACAGTTCTCCGTCATTTGAGCCCGCACTTGACCTTGAAGCGTGACCTTAAGGAGTCAAGACTCTTTGACGGACCCTAGCTCTTTCTGTGGTGAATATGTTTCTGTGGTAAATATGTTTGGAAGCTAAAAATCGGCCCGCATCTTTTTGGTAATATGGAGTTCGTCGTCGTTTGAGATCACGTTTTTCCTTGACGGGTGACCTTGAAAGGGCAGGACTTTTGACGGACGCTAGTTTTTTCGTTGTGGATATTCTGATATTTTAAGTAAAACATCTGCCGGTAAGTTTTGGGTGATATGGAGTTCCCTGTCCCTTGAGCCCGTCTTTGACCTTGAGAGGTCAGGACTTTTTGACGGACGCTAGTTCTTTCTCTGGTGAATATTGTGACGTTTGTAAGTTAAAAATCGGCCTGGTAATTTTTGAGTCACAAGGAGTTTCCCCGTCTTTTGAGCCCGCGTTTGACTTTGAATGGTGACCTTGAGAGGTCGGGACTTTTGGCGGACGCCAGTTCTTTTTGTGGTGAATATTCTGATGCCTGTAAGTTAAAAACCGGCCGGTAATTTTTGGATGATATGGAGTTCCCGTCCTTTGACACTGCATTTGACCTTGAAGGTTGACCTTGAAAGGTCAGAACATTTTGACGGACGCTAGCTCTTGCGCTTGCGATTGTTCTGATGCTCACAATTTTCAAATCGGCCGGTAGTTTTTGGGTGATATCGATTTCTCCGTCCTTTGACACAGTATTTTTACCTTGAAGGCCACATGATATTGCAAAATAAGCGTCATTTTTGGTGTTCTCATGCCACAATGACTTTGGGACTCTTTTTCAGAGAAATCGGAGCTCGTCGCTGAAAAAAATCGCTGAATAAGTCGTTAACTTCACGGATATCTGACATCGTAGTTTGTGATGCCACAACACTAAGAATGCATCAGACCGCCATACGTGACGTTGAACCACTGACTTCTCGCCTTATCTGGCCCATAGTGCATTTATAATTCCTTTTTAGCTTCTTGACCATAGCGTGTATCATTTTATGGTACCATTGCTCGTGCAATTTTGTCGTATGCCTTTCGTGTGCGCCTTTGTGTACTTCACCTGTATCTTACTTGAAAATTTCAGTTACCTGAAACCGTTAGAGGCACCGTGTGGATCATTTCCAATATAGCCGTGCTTCGTGAAGGGTGTTAAACATGTGTAATTATTTGGAACCATTCGGAGCAAATATGAATGTACAAATTGTTTCGGAACCGATTTGTTATCCAAATAACTTGCTGGAGCGAAATCGACAGGAAACATGTTTTTGACCATGCTCCTGAAAAAATGAAATGTCTCAAGGCCTTCCACATTGCTCTGCAACGCTGAGAAAAGCCCTGCAAAAAATTAAATGGAAATGCCGGCAGGGATAACTATTTCAGCGATGATCTTGTTCGCATTGGTGACTTTGTCCATTGTATCCACTTCATTCCTTTTTAACAACATTATAACCACTGTATGCTAACTTATACGTATGTGTTAAGGCCACCTGACACCAAATAAGCACAGAGGTCTTATGTGAACAGCTATCGGATTTCAGTATAATAGAAGGTGCTGGTTAAACGACGTTGCCAACAAACATTCATTGAATTGTCTTTATTGATGGTCACAAGTGGTCAACACCCTGAGAACTCTGGCTTCATGATGCGTAAAGCCCGGATTTCACAGCTCTTCCTGACTTTATTACGTTATGGTGTTGTAAAAACACAAATTAAGCCGATGGGCATAGTAGGAACAAAACTTTTCCCGGAAAAGTTGACTGCGTAAATCGATTCTCATGGAAATTCGCTCCTTTCATGCAGCACCACACATGTACATTTTTGTGACATATCGTTACCTCGGATACAGCTAGGTGCCTCCGCAACTAACAGCGCATGGCGTGTTGGCTTTTCCAACCAAAGCTATGACAGAAAACGCGAAGTGCCCTAACTAAGTTTCTAAGTTAATGTTTTCTACAACATGCAAAAGTGTGGCGACAGGACAGATCGTTGACTCGTAATCCCACTGGACATGAGCTTCGAGACGGGCGCATTGTATGGCAGGCAGACAGGGTCAGCCGGCAACTGGCCAAACAGGATCAGCCTGGTCTGCGGCGTCATGCCGTAGCTCTGTAGGACGTGTATAATCCTCCTCATGGCTTACTCGATACGCCGAGGGAAAATTGTTGGCGGAGCCGGATTAGGTCAACTTAATTGGTGGTTTCTGGTCGCATACGGCATCTGCTTAGCTGATGCGCTGAACGCTTTACCACCCATGCAAACCTTCCGAAATAATTAAAACAGGGAATTTCAAGTGTTCTACCACGTTCACAGAAACATCACCAACAAAATCACAATTGCGAAATCATGTGAATTTGAACTTGATATGCACGCAAGAGCTGCAAGGTTATCAAGCTGTCCTTCGAAAGGTAATTCCCCTACCGTCAGCCGACCCATTGAAAACGTTATTAAAAGGGCCGGCGAAAATGCACGGGGCTCAGCCGCACCCTGCGTTGGGTCCCAGCTCAGGCCAGCAGGACGCTCGCCTGGCCAACAGATTGAGCAGGTGTTCTCCGGCAGGTAGCTTGCACCTGGGCACGCGGACCGCCACAAGGTCCTCCTACAAGAACCCCACTTTCACGCCGCTTGAGACATCACGACAATTCGCATGGTGGCACAAAACCACCGTTTTGTGTCACACCTGGTGCCACGCAGGACGCTGGTGATGTCTGACTCAACGCGTCGCCCCTGTTCGCAGTGCCACAAGGCATACTCGGATGCGTACCGGTCGCACGTCTCGTCGCCTAGCAACGCCACGCTTGCGGCGTACTTTGATGCACACAACGCCTACGTCCAGCAACTACACGCTGCTAATGGCATGGTGGTCGAGTTCAACGGTACCACGCTGCCACAGCTGCTGCAGGTAGGTACCTGATCAGAGCGTACCCACGCGGCACGTGTTGATGCAGTGCGGGGGCTGAACTGCTGACACCCCCTGTCCGAAAATTTGTTTTCAAATCGGGAGGTTGTGAAATAATTGACACGTCCAATGTGTCCAATAGCTTTGCTGCCGCTTGCTCGCGGGAAATGTGTTAAGCAGACCGGGTAACAAGAAGAAAGACAGCTTTGGTTTTGAGTTGTACTCTAGGTTTAACAGGACCTGCACATCGTTACGTACGAAAGCTACAAACACAATTCGACGGGACAAAAGTTCCAAGACACGTCATGTGTATCTAGTGTCATTAGATCAGAAGCAGCTTGCTCTGATTGTATCGGCAAGAAGGGCGTGGTGCGACGCAACTAAGCCCTGTCTGTGTCATCGTTCCGAGTTCGGTCTGACGTAAACATGTACAAAGCCGATAGGCTTTGATTGTTTGACGCCGCTGAGGTTTGAATTTTAGCTGATGAAATCATGTTTCAGAAAGAGCACCGTTAATTTAAAAAAGCGACCGATGGAACTACGCATTTGATGGCATCGGTGAAATTGGACACTGGAAAATAGCGTTGAAACCTTGGCGCCGAACTCTCACCTCTCGTTGGGTGTGGTATGTGCTGTAGTCATGCCACTGTTCAATGAGGCCATATCGGCCTTTGCACGGGCTCGAGCTCTGCCTTTTTGCGTTTGACTTCAGCCACGTACATGATCTAGCTCAAAAGCCGAACTCAATAATTAAAAAAGGCATGCATTCAGACAACATTCATGCTAAGCCAATGCGGTGGAGACTTGGACGTGAACATTTGACACGTTCTGGCTCAGACGGGAGTCAAAATTAGTCAAGGCAAAGCTGGGAAGCTAGGAATGCATTATAAATGACTATAAATCCATATTATGGCAATGCGCTGCCGAACATTCATGTGTAAACGTTATGCTCATGGTAACTAAGAAGTGTGTCAAAACGACATAAGAAGTTGCCGTGAAAGTTGCATCACGAAATGTGAGTTTTCATCAAGACGATTTTGTTTGTGATGATTACAATACTCTAAGTACATCTCTAAACAATATAAACTTGTACTTGAACACGACCTTGTGCTTCCACAGCTTATTAATGCAGTTACTGGTTCCTAGCCAATTCCCATTGAGTAATTCACTCAGGTACTCTGGTGGCCGCTGGAGTGTTTGTAGCTTGACCTTGCCGCGATTGCAGTACATTCCTGGGGTCTCATCTGGTCATTTCTTGGGTTAAAATTGTCAGCCAATGTCCATCCTGCCGATTTATGTATTCTCGCAGTTGCTGCTTTTGGCAGGGAAGGGACGATTAGGGGTGTTTTAGACGAACCTGCTTAAGAGACATAACATTTTTGCCAACGTTGCCCACGAGGTTAATTTGACACTCCGAAATATTAAAGTTTTTAAGAGGAGGAGACGCTTAACTCGCAAAGTAGGTCAGGTTAAGTGTGATCTATATGCCAAGCTTGCAGGTGGCTGGGTTGGAATATTTGGGTCAAATAAGGTCAATATCAAACTCGAGACTGTCTTGCGAAGTGACAATGGACCTCTTCATGGAACCAGCTTTAACCCAGAAACTGTTTCTAAAGAAGAAATGAATGGTGTTCAAATCAGTTCAGTGACCTTATCTGATTTTAAACGGTCAAAATGACCAACATTCTTCGAGAATACCTTGATATTTAAAGTTACAATGGGCTAAGGAACTATCAAGTGCGATATGTTCCTAAAAGCAAAAGGTGATTGAGATCATTTCAGGTCATTGACCTCTATCGAACTTAGATATAGTCAAAAACAGTGAAATGCGGACGTCCTCGTAATCAATGAAGTGAAACGGAGCGCCAAAAACAAACTACCGCATAATGCAAGGTTTCAGTAAAAGCACAGTTTTGTGTTGAACTTGATCTGTCCTTTGTGCCAGGCTCAGTATCAACTGAATCAGTCGTCATCCTGCTTTCATTGGCGTAATTATCTAACAAACCATCTCAAACCTCTATGACTTTGTCTAGCATGCCATTGTCGCATCACCTTAACGGTTTGAACTGGACGAATTTTAGCTTAAGAGCCAAGCATTTTATTTCCCGTCAGCCATGACCTGACTTGAACTTGTTACGGGTCAGCAACCTTATGAGTTATATATATATATATATATAATACCAAAAGATGGGCTTTTCGATTGCCAATAGCTACGTAAGGTTTGAGGAGAAGCGCTACACCGTCCTGAAATTATTCTGGATAAACCTCAATAGCGGGGAAATGGAAGGGGGTCAAAGTGATTCCCTGACCACCCGAGCGAGTGCCAATGCTAATCTTATGAGGCTAGTTTGATCGCGCTGAATTGCGCGGCAGAGCTGCATTAGTAGTCCGATATTCTGTGTCAAAAATATAGAATTTCGGATTTTCCCACAACGAACGGTTCTCTAGTTATTTGGTGCCAAATCACGTGTATCCCCTGTATTATATATATATATATATATATATATATATATATATATATATATATATATATATATATGTGTGTGTGTGTGTGTGTGTGTGTGTGTGTGTACGGTCAAAAGATGATAATACAAAAACATGTAGAGATCAAGCATGTCTTGCAAAATACTGCAGAAAACTGGAAGTTTTGGTGAAAATATAATAATTATGTAGGCTGTCCTCTGAACCACCTTCCATACAATTCGGGATATTTTACCAGCATGATGTGTCCAGGTGATTCCGAAGACAGCCTTTATTTGGAGAGCTTATGCATTACTCACATGCTTTGCGTTCTGTCAACGAGCAATAGGTCGCCCTGCAAGACTGAAGACAGGTAAACAAAGCTACCTGGGATAAGCTGATACGAGAACTTACCTTCACCCTCCGAACATGTGTGAATTGATGGCTTGCCATCAAATATGATGAGTGTTTTCGAAGTTGCGCTCTCGCATTCTGAAGTGTAATGGCTTCATTCAAAGCGAAATTCATTTAATATCAAGCTCATGCTATGCAGAGAATGTTAGGCAACTATTGCACATGAGATAGTACCGAAATGATCACAGTAAGTTAGAGACCTATGCGCTGTCTCTGTGGCGTTCGGCAATAAGTGCCCTGTCCTTAACACGCGCTCGAGTGGCCGGTTGAGTAGCACACACTCGGGTGGGCGGAGAAAGTGTGTGTGCGTGTGGTGTGGGGGGGGGGGGAGGAAATTTAAATACCTGAGTACTAAAAACAAAATTAAGTGACCCAGGGACACCAAATTTACGGACTGGTTTGGTCTGTAAGGGAGAACTCACTTGTGTCAAAAATTGAGGTTGATTCATTGCGAACTTCAGGTCAAATAAGGTCAGAGAGTGTAAACCTCCAGACTGGTGCTTAAGTGCCCCGGGCCTCCACATGCAACTGCCGTCATTCTGGATACCTGTTCCGACAAAATGGTCACTGGTGTTCATTTTGGATCAGTGACTTTGCTCGATCTTTGGAAGGTCATGGTGACCACAAACCTCTGACATGTATTCATTTTTGAATTTCAATGAGTGTCAAGGATTACGCTAGGCGGTATGGTCCTAAAAACAAAAAGATGAACTTGGTCACTATAACTCATGGCCTTCCCCTAACTTTACAAGATCCGTGGAATGTGTCTGTTGTGATCCCTGTCATTAACAAATTTGAAATAAGCAGTAGAAACTACCCGTTAAAGCGGACTCTCCAGTAAAAAGGTAGGTTTGTTTTAATCTCGGCTTGACCTTCATACCTGACCCTTAATGGAATTTGTCGTAATCCTAACTTCAAGTGTTTACTTACCTAATGAATCATCTCAGAAATGTATGACGTCGTCTAACACTCCGTTATCGTATCAGAGTGAACGGTTGCTTAGGAAGTGACTTCGTGGAAAGCTCCGACCTGAATTTGGCCTGTCATAGATCAGCGTCCTTACAAGACACATCTCATTTTGCGTACCAAAATATTTGCTATTCAATTGCCTACAGATACAGAAAGTTTGGTACGGCTACGCCGCGCTTTTAGAAGTTATTCAGGAAAACCTTCGGGAGGAATTGGCCAAATCGACACCTAACCGAGCGCGTCTCAATTGAGTGACGATGTGGTTGAAGTACTGGCAGTACCCGTTATTTGGTGTCACATGTAGTTATGTGCAGGGCAGCGTCTGCTAATTTCTGATTTCTGACTTCTGTCACGTGGAGGCCCTGTTTTATTTGGGTGTGGTGTATTTTGCTACGCAAATGAATGAAGGCATGGGCGCTGTGATTATTGAAGCAAGGACTGATGCTGTTGATCAACGTCAAGCCAAACAAACCCGGTGCCGGATGTGGGGCAGCTTTCAAAACGTCCCGAGACCACCGTCGGCCAGCCTTCCTCGGCAGGTTTGGGAATTTGCCCGCCCTCTCACGCAATCCACGCGATCAGCTGTGCCAGCTCAAACGGCACAACACAATCTGCGAGCGCGCGGGCTAACCAAACAGCGCGCGCCTGGGATCTGTCGCCACCTGACCGGCCGCCAGCGGCCGCCGGCCCGCCGTGCCCCGCTGGCCCGGCGGATCGGCTGCCGGCCCGCCGTGGCCGCCGGCCCGCCGTGCCCCCGCTGCCCGGCGGATCGGCCGCCGGGCCGCCGTGCCCCGCTGGCCCGGCGGATCGGCTGTCGGGCCGCGCCCGAGACGCGATCCGTCGCACGCTGGAACACTCGTGGTGCGTGCTTTAGGGATGCAGAGTCGTGTGCTCCAAATGTGACATGGTGTCCGCTTCAGAACTAGTCTGTATGTGCGGGAACCGGCCTGCAGATAAGGTTGGCTTCGGCTGGTATCAATACTAAGCTACGCCGTGCGCCGGCGTTGTTAGACGAGGCGCCACGCCGGCGGCCGTCATTGCTTGTTTAGTAGAACCACCTTGCTTTGCATCATGTGTATCCAGTGTGCGCTTCAATGTAAGGAAATGGAGTTTCAGATCCTTTGTTTTTCGCGAAGGATGGCCAGGCCAATTCGATTGCA